CCATTAAATTAGAATTTATTTATTGACTATTGACTATTTCAACCATTTAGGTATTAATTTATAGGTTTAATTAGATATTGCATAAAGACAAATTAGTATCTTAAAATGTTTTATTATTTGCTCATCAGCAAGCAGCAGATGTATAGTTTATTTTAAATAACCTCTATCCATTTGGAAAAATTATCTATTGCAACTAAATAATCCTGACCTCCATGTGTTAATATATCAGTGCTGACGTATTCAAACGGCAGCTTTGGCAACTCATGCAACATTAATGATTCCTTGCGATTCATATTTATAAATCATTCACATACTTTACAAACTATCACAAATTTGTTACAACATAATGTCCTTCGTGTATTTATTTAAGCACTACTTATCATAAGTTCTTAGGGGATCACTATTCGGTCTTTATGGTATATAATATCATCTCTTAACTTCCAATAATGACGAACCTGTGTCGGAATTTTATCTTTACTCTTCGGCCAGCCTTTTGAATACCTCTAACACTTCATTCAGTATATTTTCACAGTGTTTCACGAGCTATCTTTAAAACATTGAAATTTCTGAACTCAATACTGTGAAACATTCCCTGAATTTCACTATCATAATTTTTATTAATACAATTTCTAGAAAGTAAGTCAGCTTTATACATGTACTTGCCCAGCAAACAGTTACCATCTAAACTGTAAATTAAAGCTTAATCTGTTTAAGACTATTAAACATAATTTGCTTTAGATTTTCTTCAAATACGATACCAGTGGAGAATAATTAGTCAGAACTTTAACTTTATAGCCATAGTATATCTATGGAATTTCCGACAAGCAAACAAAATTGACAAGGTCTTCTTCTCAATTTGAGGATACGCTTTTCTTGCCTCAGTCAAACTCCTCGAAGCAAATGTTACAAATTATTTTTGTTTGCCCGGGTGGCGGAGAGAATCGGCGTCAGAGAGTTACTCGGGGGGGGGGAAGGGCGTGACTCTCACCCCGAAGACACCATGGACCTTCTTTGTGGAGTGGTGAACCTACACCCCTTAACGCCGCTAAAATGGTGAACGCAGAGGTCCGCTGCAGGGCGGCTCTTTTCACCATGGGAAGCCATTATGGCAAGGACGCTCGGTAGCGCGGCCTCGCCCTCAGGCTGGTGACTCCAGTAAAAAATGTGTACTGAGCTGGGGGAATAATGTTTACGTGGTTTCCACCGAGCCAGCGACGCTAACAAGTGAAAAAAAAAGTTATTTTTGTTGTAACAATTTTGTTTTTAGATCTATCACATTGTATTTCAATTTCTTCTCCCGGGTTAAAGTTAGTTAACACTGATAGCAATCCTTGAGTTAGAAATTAATGTTTAACATACTCACTGCCTGAGAATGATAATCTGTGGAACTCCACAACACATATTTTTAAGCAACTTCCTTAAAGATGACACAATCTTTGACATATTAAGAATAAACTGCCTTAAATAGTTATACATTTCTAGCAACTTTTGCAATTTTTTTATATTTCTTCTACTATTTTTTAAATTTCTTATGACACTAACTCTTTTTGGATCGGTCGTATACCATGTTGTAATAAGGTGAATAATGGGGTACAAAGCAAATTAATGTATACCCACTAACCACTTAGATTACTTATTACAGCCTACGACGGTAGGAAACAATTAATATAAACTATGAAAGGTAACAATAATATACGTATCTATCCTGAACGGAGTATCCTCAGCAATATTGTTGATTTTGAATACAGGTATAATTATATTTGTTTATTATATTGATGAGAATAGGTAGTAAGAATGATAAAATAAATACTTGATTTAGTTAAAAATGATGATGTCGGAATGTTAGAAGCCGGAACAACACGCACTCTCGGGAAGACGAAAAAGATGACCAGTCGCCAAGGCAGGATCCGGTGGCCGAATGAATTGAGGAGTTTTTTATGAGAAAAAAAGGGAAAAAGAGTAGAGTGGTGTTATCCGGTTCTCATTATCATGTGTTATTATTATTTTTAAATTATTAACTGTATACATACTATTTTGTATTAATCTAAATTGATTTACAAACTGATAAAATAAAGTGGTGTCCACTATAATAAAATGTAGTGTAGATAATATTAATGTTATATAATATTATATAATATTATATATAACTAGTTGACCAATATTAAAATTATGATATATACCATATTGTATGTCATTACAATATTCATCATAGATCATACCCAAGTACCAACAAATTAGCTGTTTCTTAAACTGCAGTTTTTCCAGATTAAACTTTACATTAGGTGATTTCGCTTTCTTTAATACCCTATTTAAGGTAATTTCATGTTAAAATTGATCTTTAATATCAATAGCTACCATAATATCATCAAAATCCATAATAACTTTTTCTATATCTCCAAAACTTTCCTTATTTTTCCTTTGAAAATCCTCTGGTGCACACGATATTCCAAACGGCATCCCCTTAAATCTATAGTACCCAAAAGGAATACTGAACGTACAAAACTGATTAGACTAATTATCCAATTCCACTTGCTAGAACTCTTCTTTTAAGTCTAGCACAGTGAACCACTTTTTATTTATTAACCGAATCTTTAGTTCATCAAGGATTAATAAACGTATCTCTTATTATAACCTTATTCAGTTGAGTGAGATCTCACTCTAAACTATAAACTTTCATTGGGCTTTTTAACTATCACATTATTACTAAACCAATTCTTTGGCCTATTCACAGGTAATATTATCCCTCGCTCAACTATACTGTTCAATGTTTTCTTTAGTTCAACCTTTATAGATTCCCATACTCTTCTACAAACTGATGAACAGCACCTTTCCTATTAATTTTACAGTTCAATTCTACAGCTCCCAGAAATATCAAAACCTCTATATCCCTGTACCCTGACATTCACTTTTCTAATAACTTCCTTATTTTTAGTTTTATTGAATGATTAATTGGTATTATGTTAATATCCATACTAGTGTCTATTTTAAAATTAATATCAAATTCATTGATTCTTATTTTCTCAAATCACACTTCAAACTTACCTATATTATACACACTATTAATATTCAAATAATATGCATCAAATAAATGTATATAATTTCTCTCATCAGACCTATAATCATTAAAGATATTTTCAGGGATATTATTAATTGTATGGATATTTTGACCAACCTTCATTACATTTTTTTACTTCCACTTTAAACTTGGTACTGGGCAGCAGACTTTTAAATGATAGTAACTAGTAAGGAAAACTTGATTTGACATGCACGATAAAGTAATTATGTTAAGAAATAAGAACTGACGTACTCAAAATATGTGTTCGTTTTTTTTTTTTTTTTTAGGAGGGGTGAGGCGACAGAATCGTGATACCCAAATGCACCAAAAGTCTAAATACGGCCGAGCCAACGAGCCGCCACTGCATAATATAATTTTAATTGAACTCCTTACCTTTTAATATATATTTTATAACATCAACTTCTAGACACTGCAGTGTACACTCAACTACTGAACTACAATTCTACACTAAACGTCAACACTAAAACAAAACCAAACTATAAGTTATTACAGTACTGCTCACGTAACTCGGTGAATAATGTTAGCGCGTCGCGATAATGTCAAACAATATAAGATAATAGATCTATAACCGTGGGTCGAAATTGATTTCAATAAAATCAACGTATACACGAAAAACAGCGATTAGAAACTGCCGTCGTATCACCAAGTACGCAGAAATATTATAGCAAAGGGAAATGAAATCCACGGGTAACGTCGTCAGTTAATACTATTATTATATTATATTTTCCAACGATGCGACGCTTACCGTGTGTATATTTTTATTTGTTGAAGAACATTATGTTGAAAGAAAAGCCAATCAACTCGAGAGTGGTTCGAACCCTCAAAACCACCTCCTCGGCACGCCCCTTGTTACTTGTATTATACTGTATAAACGGATAAGCAATTTCCATTCGTCCCGGCTACGACAATCGTTCGAATATACCGATCCCGTGTAACTGTAATATCTATATACCTACTCAAATAATATACAATAATGATATTTACGAATTTACGTCGTAAAACAAACTATTCATTGTACACGGTACGCCGAAATGTCATTGCGCACACCGCGGGGAGATTTCAGACATTGTTTACACGGCAACCACCGCGGGAGCTTTCGTTTGAACGGAAAAAAACCGGTCTGTGGCTAAATAGGTCAGTTACTACCGTTCGTAAATCGTGTATAGTAATACACAAGAGAGTAGTAATGTTTCCCTTTTTAATTTTTTTTCGTTGACAAGAGTTCATCATAAATTCATAACATACTGTCTATTTCTATGTATTTATAATATGTAATTGTATATTTATAACTATAAAATATAAATACTTAAATATATTTTGTAATTGGTACACGGTACCAATAATGTATAATACCTACGTATGTGATGAAATATACGTATACACATAAAGACCATGATAGTACAAAAGACCTGTATTGCACAGGAAAGTTTTACTCGCAGGCAATGACGTAGCCAGGAATTTTTTAGGGGGGGAGGGGGTGTTTTTATTTTCTGTTTATTTGTAACTTTGTAACTATATTGTGCTTACGTAAAACCATCGATTATAAATACTAATATTAATAGTATTAATACTACTAACAGTATTTATAATCAAGGGTAAAAATAATATAGGTACCTACTGAATAATTATCTATGGGTAACACAACATATCAACACATTTACCACAATAATAATTGTATACAGTGGGTATTGTCGTAATATCTCAAATTATTAAACATATAGTTTGTTTTTAGTAATGGAAAATTAATAAAATAATATGTATTTGAATTTTAAATAATTTTGAGAATCATTAAGTTTTAAAAATACTTTTTTCTTTTATTATACGATTTAGTATACTTATGCCATCTATCGGACGAATATTTCCCTTGTGGTGAAAACTATTAATGATATTAATATCCTGATAATGCTGCATGTGTTTTGTACGGTGATAAAAGTAGAAAACTATGGGACGGTCAATATTGATAATAATAATAATAATAATAATAATGTTAAAAAAAAGGGCGAAATCAAATTGAAAACACTTGTAGAGCCATAGGAATTTTGAACAATATGCATTAGAACAAAAATATTATAATGTTACCAGTCAATACCAATAGTTTTAAGAGCCCTATGTGATAAATTAAAATGTATGTTTGCTGTAGATAGCATTACAGAGCGCAGGTAAAAAAAAAAAAAAAAACGATAATTTTGATTTGTATTTGTTTGTACCTAGTCATACTTCTCAACACAAAGTTTTTCTAATAATTATATTTGATCCTTAGGAAATGATCTTACGATGGAGTTTGCTGACAAAATTGGAATACCAAAGTTGAATGGTGTAACCATGAGAGGTCCCCATGTGTCCAACTCCAGTACTGGGACACTAGTCATTACCGGTCATCATTTAATATTTTCATCCAGATCTGAAGACGTTGAACTATGGGTAAATGATTAAATTTTTACACACACAATATTTTTTCAACAATTATATTTATAATTTTTATCTGTTAAAATATATATATTATACCTACAGACTAGTAAAATACTAAAATATTTTTGAAATATATATATTTTTTTTAAATTCCTGCTTAAAATTTTTAATCAAAACAAACTAGAGGTAGATATTCTATGTTCATATAAGTATAAAGTTATTGTGTTTTTTATGTAAATAAAATCTGTTTCATAAATATTCATTCAAATTTTTAAATTAAAATGTCTAGATTTTGAATCGTAACATTGACATTGTGGAAAAGAAATTAAACACGGTTACTTTAAAATGTAAGGATTTTAGAATTATTGTTTTTGATATGCCGTATATTGAACAAGCTACCTCAGTTGCTGCTTCTATTGAATCACTCATAATGCCAGGTTTAATAAAATATTAAATAATTTTTTACTAAAAGAAACACATCACCCATTTTTATTTGTATAATTGTTAGATGAAGCGGAACATTTTCACCATATGTTTTCAAATAAAACTAATGAATATCGTTCACAGTTTGATGTACAATCTCAATGTGAAAAATTAATTGCTGGTGATTCAATGTGGAGAATATCACATGTCAATAAATCTTACAGGGTAGATATGATTTAAATGTTTTTATTTAAAAGTATTGAAATACCATATAAGTATATAAATATTAAAATCATTTCAATTTTACAGGTTTGTAATTCTTACCCCGAATTGACTGTTGTTCCTTCTAATGTTGATGATACTATGTTAATTGCATCTGCCAAATTTCGGCAAAATGGACGATTCCCTGTTTTAAGTTATCGTCATGAAAAAGGAGTAAGTTCTTATATTATAATGTTTGTTTCCGAAAAAAAGTGTGAAATATTATTATGAAAATTTGAATCTATTTCTTATCTATAGAGTGTATTAATGCGCAGTAGTCAACCTTTAGTTGGATCCAGTTCTAAACGTTGTAAACAAGATGAGCGTGTTATAAATTCAGTTCTTGGTCCTGGAAAAAGAGGTTACATAATTGACACTCGTAGTGTGGCAACTGCAACAAATGCTAAAGCTCGCGGTGGTGGATTTGAAATGGAAGCGCATTATCCTCAGTGGCGACGAGTAAATTCGGCTCTTGAACGACACAATGTTTTATTGGATAGCTTGTCAAAATTAGTAGAAGCTTGCAATGATACAGCATGCACTATAGACCGATGGCTGAACAAATTAAATGGTAGCGAATGGTTATCGCACGTCAAAGACACATTAAATGCTGCTTGTTTAGTAGCACAATGCTTAAATCAAGAGCGAGCATCGGTTTTGGTTCACGGATCAGAGAGCACAGATGCTACATTGGTGTTAATATCACTAACTCAGTTAATATTAAATCCAGAATGTCGAACAATTGTTGGGTAAAACTGCTTTAACATAGACTGTGCATGGGTAAAAGGGATATAAATAAAGTAAATAAGTAAAACGACACTAGCATTCAGGAAACACAATAAACTTTTCATTTCTACAATAATTTTTTAAATTTTTATTCTTAACTCAACTTATAATTTGATACTTATTAAGAATAATAATTATTAAAGAAATGAGCTTATTCTGTTTCCTGAAAATTAGTATTTTTTTTACTTACTCCCTTTTACCTGTGCACCATCCACATAATATATTCATTGAAAAAGTAGAAAGTTTAACTTTAATTTTCTTATAGGTTTGAATCATTAATTGAAAGAGAATGGCTTCAAGCAGGATATCCATTTGAAACTCGTCACAAAAGTGGTTGTTATAACGCTGCTCGTTCAAAAGTATCTTCATCATCTTCTTCCAAGATTTTTCATCATGGATCAGGCGCAACTTTTCTATTATTTCTGGATTGTACATGGCAAATACATAATCAGTTTCCATGTTGTTTTCAGTTTTCAACTAATTTTTTATCATCACTGGTTGATCATTCATACTGTTCAGATTTTAGTACATTTTATGGTAATTGCGAAGCTGATAGACAAACTAATCGATATGGAAAACCAAATTTATGGTCTTATTTTGATCAAAAATTAGATAATATTACTAATCCTCTATATTTGCCTACAAACAACGTGATTTGGCCCTCTGTTGCACCATTTAGTATAGTAAGTATTTCTAATTTTGTTTGATTGTTACAGTTATTTTTTTACAATATTAAATTTACAATAAATTTTTCTCTTTAATGATATTATTGATCATTAATCAAATTAATATTTTAGGAATTGTGGCGAGATATGTACTTAAGATGGTCCATTGATCAAACTCATCAAAATATGTATAAAAAGTCAATTGTTGAATTAGTAAAACGGAATAAAGAGTTGAAAATAATAGCTACAAAATTGCGTAATGAGAGTCATGAATCTAATAATGAATCTGCATAATAAATTTAATTTTCTATAATATTCAATTTAAGTCTCTAAATAATTATTTTAATTTTTATTAATTTTTTTTTATGCCATTTAATTTTAAATCAATGTAGTATGTATCTATGTACAATGTTTGCCATTGAAAATTATATTACCTACTACTATATTATAGGAAAATAAATAACTTGTTTATCTACAGTGTTCAGGTTATAGTAGTAATTTTTTTTTTATTGAAATATGGGCCAGATAAATATTTAACATTTGTTTTTATTTTTATATACAAAAATATTTTGTTTGATTTACATTTTGTTCATAAAAAAATATATATATATATACAATTAATATCACTTATATTTAAATTATGTTTATAACTAATGAAATATTAATGAATTGTGTCAGAAAAATTATCTTCCATTTTATGTAACAACCTTAATCCAATAAAAAATGTTCCTTATATTTTGTTATAACTGAATTGTCCTATGCAATAATCAAATAATTTGGTAACATAATTAATACAGACTTAAATAGTTTAAACACTTAACAAAATAATAATTTCTTATAGTCCTAACCACTTAGTATAGATTTTATTTTATAGTTATTATTTAGTCAAATTTTGAATCAGTCATATTGAATTAGTATACTCGGCAAGTAAAATTAAACTAGAGTTCCACATATGTGGAAAAAAATTGTCAATCATAAAGGTATAATTACTTAAAGATAAAAATGGTTTTTCATGGAATTTATAAAATATTTAAATTATAATAGAATTAAATGACAATTGGAAATAACCTGTTATCTATAGTTTAGTAAAATATAAAATGTGATGTATGCAATTGATAATGGCTAATGAATGAGTATACACTTGAAACATTTAGTTATTAAGGTTAACTTTATATAATGGATAATTCATGAAAAAAATAGATGGATAATGAATAATGATGATGATGATGATCTAGACATTGTCTTCCAAAAACTTCTGAAAATTAGGAAAATAAAAATATTAGGAAAACAATAAAAAAAATAATTTTTATTTTATTTCATATTTTAACTATAATTGCTAATTTATTTTATTATAAAACACAGTCTATAAAAAAATCTGGCAAGATTTGACATAATTTACAAAATAAAATTGAGTACCCGGACCTAATGTATATTTTATATAAAATAATAATTATTGTACTTTTTTTTGTACTTTTTTCAGTTCTAGTTTGCTGAGCGTTTTCTTTCTTTGATATACCATATGCAAATACATTTGAGGAAAAACTGAAAAAATATTAATTCTATAAATGATCAAACATTCACAGTACATTCAAAAGAATATTTAAAAATAAGAAAACTAATTATAATACATCGGCAATTTTTTTTATTTGAAAACAATTATCATTTTTAAGGAGAGAGAGATATATACAATATAAACAGGATGGGGCACTTTTAAAGGATGGCTGATTTTAAAAACAAATTTTCTCAATAGCAATTTAAGATAAGAATGCTTACTAAATGCTAACCCAGATGTATAAAAACGAAAACTTTATTCAAAATGTTTTGATGTCTAATGAAGCACATTTTCATTTTAATGGATTTGTGAATAAGCAAAATTGTCGTTATTGGTCTGAGAAGAAACCCCACCAGCTTTTTACCAATGACCATTACACAGCAATTGAGTAACAGTATCATGTTACTCAATCTAACTTTAAATCTGTATGTCCATATAATCAATAATTTTTTGGTAGGTGAACTAATTAAATTTTCTTAAAATTATAACTTGGTTTCAACCAGTGTGATATTTCACATGGTCTGAATATAAATGCTGTTCAAAATATTTTTGGAAATTGTGTTGTTACCACAAAATGTAATATTTATTGATTTTATAAAATTTTAAACTTGTATGACTTTCTTTAAAATCCATTAACTTTGATGTCACTGAATGTGTCAGTCCAAATTAGTGCATATTAATATTTGACAGAGTTGTATACAAACATACATAAAAAATAAATACAACTTAAACACTTTCATTTTTAAAGTCTGTTACAAAGTGATAGGATTTAAATTTGTAAGTTATATCAATAATAACTTAATTTAACTTTAATACATACAAATATATTGATTTATAATAATAGATAATACTTACGTGGTATGTAAACCAACATTACTATACAAATTGCTGCCCATAAGCTAAATGAAAAATTATATTTATTGGGCATTTCAATGCTCCACATTTTTGTTTTTCCTAGGTATCCTAATGACGTCCAGTAAACTAACAATTCACCAGACACACCAACTGGATATAATACATAAAAGAATGTATACCTAAAAATATGGAGTTACAAATTTATTAAACACAATAATGTTATATATATAGGGTTTATCATATTTGAAAAAATTACCTTGCCCAAACAACTAAATAAGGGATATAACCAATAATATTGAATCCGTAGTATGAGTATCTCGTAATTTCTGCAAAACACCAAGCTGTCAAGGCCAATGGCAAACCTGGCGAGTTGGAGGTTTCTGGTATAAATGCAATAGCAGCAACAATTGCCACTCTAGACAATACTTGTTGAATAGTAACTGCTAAATTACTTTTTACCAAACCAATTGCCACATTGATTATCTAAAACAATATTAATATAATAAGTAGAGAACGGATTTATATATAGTTGAAATACATAAATATGGAAGCATAATTTATAAAATATACTTATTTAAAGTTTTCAAAAACATATTTTAATATTTTTGCACTACTTTGGTTTTTTCTTTTTTTTGTGCATAGCGTGAGTTATTTTGTTTATTTATTTGGTTGTTTTCTAAAACATATAAATGTGCTGCCTTATTATATCAAGGTATCATTACTTTTAATCTAGTTGGCAGGATGTAATCAAATTATTGTTGTTATTATATACTGAAATGGCATGTTTAAAAAATAAAAATAAAATTCAACTTAATTGGATTCATATATACATAATTAATAGATAAATTAATAAATTTTACTCATATAATTTACAAGTGTGTATGAAATGGTAGAATGGAGCATAAAGTATCTTTGATATCATCTGAATACTGTCACTATATATTTTATAAGGACTATTATTACCTACTTTTTAAAAGCAGTAATGACAAAATTATAAAGTATTTTGTAAGAGATATTCATGATAAATTTTGTTTGATAAATTAATTCAGAATAGGTCAAACAACAATCAAACATTACATAAAACAAGTATTAAAAAACCTGTTGTAAAAGGATAAATATTTGTTAAAAATTACATTATCACAGTAGACAGGTATTTATTTGAATAACACAATTAGTAATGTTGTTAACCTTGCATATGACCTAAAATGGTGAATATTATGAATAATAGGTAACCTGCCATGAAGTGATATTGACATGGTACCAAACTGGTTTTTTTACGCTCCAATGCCTACAAAAAGTTTGTTTAGTATTTATCTTATTAAATTAGATTATTTTTTATATTTTAAATCATTTAATCTTTTAAGATAGTAAAAAAAAAAAGAAGCAAGTTTAAAGTAAGTAATCATGTCAGGGTACTGGTCTCATTATGATGATATGTATTACTAAACAGTTGCCTAACTTATATTAACTATAATATGAATTATGTTTAAAATATAAATTTACATTATTAAAAGACCGATTTATAATACAGAAGAAACTGTTTAAGAGACATCAGTTTATACAAGAAGTAGAATAACAAAATAATTTTTTTTTTGTTGTTTTAACTCCCTATGTTATTAAATAAATATTTTTTAATTGGTTTCTTTACACCACTAATGTTATAACCAGTTTCTACTACAGATATTATATTATTAATAAAACAATACATACCTCAATGAATGCAGCATTTTGGAAAATTCCTACTGTATACTTGACAATATCCCATAAAGTTTGATCTTTAGGTGGGTTAACATAAAAGTTAACAATTTGAAATAGCAAATAACTCCATCTAATAAAGAAATACAAAATTGACTTCTGTTATTATTGTACCTATTTGCTTTATAACTATTTGTAATATTTTGTAAAAGTCATTAGTCATTACCCAAAAACTTGAATGAAGTTGTACAAAAACAAATACGAGTTTGCTACTGTACTGGGTTTTTTATTTGTTTTTCCTTTGGCCGTCGACATAATGTTTAAAAATACTTACAAAATAATATTTTAAAATAAAACACACTAAAAACTATAACAATAGATAAACTACCTATTAACCAACTACAACATAAAAATAAAATATTTTAATGAGATCAGTAGGTAGTACCTACATATAACAGTTTATAAACGTCACCACCGTGTTGTACGAGAGTGACGCTGACCGACTAGATTAAGTTCGGTAGTAAGTAGTCAGTACAACATATTTAACATTTTTTTAGTATTATTATTTTTTACCACAGCACTTCGACGAACGTGCCCCTCCATTGATATAATGGAAACCCCGCCATCCAATAACCATAGATAGTATTTATTATCTATGCTGTAACCAATGCTATAACCGGTCAATTATTATCAGCTAATGATATGTTTGTAAACATGCGCTATCATTTATCAAGTATTCAAGTCGCAAATCGTTATTTTTTGGAACTTTGTAAACAATGACTTTAAATTTTCATGTGAATTAATATTATTGTTTTCTTATTTGAATCTAAGTAACTGCGAATTCGAAATACATATTTAAGATATCACAAGTCATATATAATATTATTTATAATACAAAGTTTGAATCGTATATTATACAATGATCGAGGTAAATTTTTGTATTATTTTTATCAATCATTAGATAGGTACCTATTTTTTTTATTGTTTGCGCTTTTTAGTAGAATTTTCATCAAAATTAGAGACTATTGCAGCCTACTGTGTTTATTTTTTTTTTTTTAATATATTCGATATTATTACACTTTTAGCAGCTTTTTCTAGACCAAACACACTTAAACTCTAGTATTAGAACTGTTTTTTTGGTAGGTAGATTGAATTGATGAGTTGTGTTAAATTTTACCATGTTGTGAAAGAGAGTGTTTTTTTTGATTTTAATAAGTTATAGGTCTAATAACAATAGAGTATAGACGACCCAAATGAAACCCAGGAGGATGAAATGTATATACACAGTGTTAGTGTGAGAGATATGCTTTTTGGAAATTTAAACTTTCAACTTCTGACACTCCTGTTCCTTCTAGGATTATGTTAAAATTTCACCAATTAGAACCAATATAGTACTTATTATAGGGTCTAGGCCAAAATAACAAATAACTGTAAATGTAAAAATCACAAATTATAAATAGCAAATTCTAATACATACAATCAATCATACATAATAGCAAAACTTATATATAAATTATAAATTATAATAATAACTTTTCAAAAGGTGTAGCATATAATTTGTTACTTAATTATTTTTTTTTTTTTAAATTATTATTATCACTAAATATCTAAATACCTAATGAATTAATAACATTATTATGATCATATTCAAAAAATATACAATATTTTTACTAGATATTATATATCCGTTGAAGTCTAGCTCTTGGGTTCGAAATAAAAAATAAAATATTGAAAAACCACCTATTTTTTCTCTTCTCTTCCCTTACTTGATTCATGTTATGCAGTCAGAATTTCCATTTTCCTTTAATGACAAAATTATGCTGCTTATTAGAATTTTTTTTTTTTATTATATAGAAAATAACAAATTTGAATTCTTTAATCTAATATAAAATATTAAGGTTTCAGACACATTACTGGATACCCAACGAGAAATAACAAAATTAAATCAACCTGTCAGTTTTAAGAGCTTACAACATTTATGTACGTGCTCTGATGATTTTCTCGTGGACGACAAAGAATTTCAACAGTGTTTAAAAGGATGTAAATGGTAAAGCAGTACCTATTTAAATAGTGTTAATTCGTAATTGTATTTTAAATTATTGAATATATTAAATTTGTCTAGGTCCCCAAATGGTTTAAGCATTTTAATAAATAGTGAAGACAAAAGACTTAGAATTTTTAATATTGAAGATATAGAACAAAATGTAAGTCTTTGTAAAGTCAATCAGATAAAAGAAGGTGGTACCATTTATGATTATGTGTGGTACCCAAACTTTGTGGACAAAAATAAAACTAATAATTTGTTAGTAAATATAAAAAAATTGTATTATATTATACATTATTATTTTGAAAAAAAAATAAGTTAATACAATATTTTCTCATTGTCTTTGTGATATTTATAGAATTTTAAGTACTAGTCATCGGTCACCTATTCATCTGTGGAATGCTACAGATGGACAACTGGAAGCTACATACAGAGTTTACGATCAGTATGTTTTATTGTTTCGACACATTAAATGTAATAGATTTTATTGCCAATATACTTTTTTCATTTTTGAACAGTGTTGATGAAGTTGCACATGTCAACTCATTGTGCTTCAACTGGAGTGGAGAAGAAATTTACTCTGGTAGTTATGGAAAAATAAATATATTTCGTACGGAACGTCCAGGACGTGAATTTATTGAAATACCTACTAAAGCAGACTTGCATAGATCAATAATATCCACTATAGCTATGAATCCAGTGGATAAAAGTATGTTTGCTGTTGGTACTTACAGTAAAGATATCGGTGAGCCCTTGTCTTAGATAATAATTTTAAATAATATTATTTTGTAATTGCATTATATAGTCCAAATTCCATTTAGGTATATACGGTGGCAATCAGCTAATGTACATATTGAGAGGTCATAAATCAGGAATTACCCAATTAAAATTTTCACCCGATGGGTTGAAGTTATATTCTGGGAGCAGAAAAGGTGATAATGATATTGTATGTTGGGATTTAAGGAATGTTGGTCAAACCCTATATTCTGCTGAAAGAACCGTGACTACTAATCAAAGAATTTGTTTTGACATTTCATCAGACGGAAAATTTTTAGTATCAGGTAAAAGCATGTTAAATTTAATATGATATAATTTACATATATCTATTATCATTTATTATATGATATAATCAATACTTATTTACAGTAATATAATAAAATTAATATATTTTTGGTAAATGTTATACAGTTAGGGTTGTCATAATTTCATAAAGCAAATCCGGGACGAATAGAAAAAATAGCAAATAATATCAGACTAAAAATATAATTGAATACCTATATAATCTATATGTTTGAAAAAAAAACCAACTTATTATTTTATAAACTAAAACAATTCGACAAAAATTGTATTTATTTTTGTATATATTATTAAATTTATTATAAAAAGAACACATTTATTATTATTATTTTTTAATAATCAAAAAGATTGTTATAAAACATACAAGTAATAACTAATAAGTATTTAGATTCTATATATGGTTTTGTCATCATTGTTTTATCCTGTATTTGTTAAAAATTTTATTGTATCTTATCTTATTTTATCTCAATATCTATACAGCTTTTATTCAAAAAAAAAAAATTAAAATTAAATAATATTAATTCTCAAAACTGGGACACATTGGCGTACCAACATTTATTTTGGGACACCGGTACACCAAATGAAACACCGGTGACAGTCCTGGTTTTCCGGGATGTATGGCAACCCTATATAAAGTTGTCTCTGCTGTTATGAGTCAGAACATTCACATGTTTAACAAATTAATTAAAATTTTCAAAGTATTTTTAAATTTGTATTTAAGGTAATTGCACAGGTGATATCAGTACTTGGCAATTAGACCAAACAATTGAATTAAGTGATGGTGTAGAAAGTGTACTTACTTTAAATTCTAAAATACCTGTTCATAACGATTGTGTCAATGGTGTGAGGTTAGTATTAGTTTAATTGTTATATACTGTATTTTAATTAGTAATTTAAAAACAAATATTTAGTTTGCATCCAACTCGTCCTTTATTAGCCACAACATCTGGACAGAGACATCATGACTTTTATGATGATGATGACGAACAAGCATTACAAGTTACCTGTACTGATAGTAGTTTAAAACTTTGGAAAATAATTTAAAATTAAAAGCCTGTATTATTATGTAAACATTTTAAACAATTCAATTGACTGTGTTTAATTATTAATAAATATACATTGATTATTACTATAAAAATAATTAACTATTGTTTCATTGCATGAATACAAATATCAATAACAAACCAATGAGATTAACATATTTGAAAGAATTTAAAATCGCACTGGATGGAGCTTGTGTAGATGTTTCTTGTGTGGCTGGATTGAAAAATTCATGTAAAAGTGGATGAGCTCTCACAAAATATGCAGAATTAAGTTCTACTTCGTGATACGATTCATCAAATGATTCTTTTAGTGTTGGTGATAAATAAGTATAATTTCTGATTGAATTTAGCTGTAAAATAAATATTAATTATAAAATATTTTATTTATCTCACTAGTTAGCATAAGAACTGAATAAAAATATATGATATATGTTATATTCGTATGATATGAATAATTATTATCATACCTGATACATTTCATTAGTCGTTGCAACTTGCGCAGCTAAAGTTGAGTACATTAGCATAATTGTTTCTTCTTTAACCCACATACTGATTAGGGATTGATTTATTTTATTTTGTAAGAATTCTGTTGTTACATTGATACCAAGTGGTGTCAATGATATTGATTCAAACATTGTTTTATAATCTTGTGGACGTATTGGGCAATTAGGATCAAGAAGAAGATCTAAGTAACTACAACATAATTATTATTAATTTGAATAACAAAATTAAAATGTACAATAATGTTTAAAAAAATTAAAAATAAATAACATCTTTACTTAGACAAAATTGTTCTGTTAGTACTACAAGCTAATGCCAATAGTGCTGCTTGTCTTTCTGAAGTTGATGATGTATTCTTATATAATTCAAAAACTGCATTCCACTTCTCTTTAGTTCCGTTTTTAACACCAAAACAGAGTGCTGATTCTTTTATATCTGGAAGTATTCTATTAAAAATAATTTTTTATTTTTAAATAGTTGTAATTATTTTGTAATTTATTTAGATATTTTACTCTGCTCCACTTTGATGCCATTTATTAAAATTAAATGAAGCTACTTGAACACAATCATCAACTTCTAACTTGCATGCCCAATTTGAAAATTCATTCAAACTAGTCATTGATAAGTGTTTAGTATTTATCTTTAGGTAAGGGTCTTGAACTTTTTTATAGATTATTTCTGCATATTTTTTTGTAAAATCCTAATTTATATCATAAAATAAATTAAAAATTTAATGTCTAAAAGATTCATATGATATTGTTAGTAATATGCATTAAACGGTAAATATTACTTTCATTTGAGGACCTGTGTGTGGACAACGTCTTAAACGTTCTACAAGATATGACATGCTATTTTTCACTGAATACCATGGAATAAAATCATCTTCTTTGTACAAGTAATCAATTAAATTAAATGGTACAGAGTATGACAATTCGCCAGCTCTGGCTAAATTGAATGAATCGTCAATTAATTGTGCTCTATTTAGGATGTGTATTGATTTTGGGTTGTTTTTTAGCTGGTCAGTTAGCAGATTCCAATTATTTAAATCATAATTAACTCTATAGAAACCTTGAAACAAAAAATAAATGTAACTAGAGAGTATACAATGAAGATAAAAATACAATATTAAGTATAAACAACTTTTTATTTTCAGGTTATAATATTCTCTATGATCATTATTGATTTCAAGTATTAAAGTGTATAATAAGTGGGTACCTTAAATGTTCTATACCTAATTATAACTACTACAAGTTAACCTGTTTAAAAAAAAAATGTTATACTTGCGGTAAAATTGTACCTGTAGACTGAAGGTTAAATAATACCCAGCCTGCATCTTTTTCTAGTGGTATTATAATTTTCGATTGTGTATTATTCATCCAAATTGACGGTAAAAGATTATTAAAATTATTGTATTTTCTTGTAGTATATGTAAGGCCAATATGCCACAAACTAGTATCAATTAGTTTTGGCTCATCAACTTGGAACCGTTTCTTCAAAAATAAATTATATATTCTTTAATTATATAGTAATTTTAATTATTTTTAAACACTTATAGATATGTACTTGACTTATAATAAGACCATTATTTCCATTGCTTGTATTAACATGTATTACAGGATATCCAGCTTGATCAGTCCATGATGTCATAAATTCTCCAACTGTAATTTTATCCCCTAATATTCCTAATTTATACTCATTTTCATACAATACATTATCAAAAGAGTCCCATAAATTTTTTGGTTCAACACTTTTGTACCTGAAATAGAAAAAAAAATGAATTAATGTTGTCATAAATTGCATTAATAAGTTTAGTTTAAAAGTTTAATTGCAATAATAGTGATATTTTTTAGGTCTTACATATAGATATTTAAATATAATGATAAAGATTTTCTAAATATTTCATCATTCAATGTATGTTTTAACATTCTTAATACTGCAGCTCCCTTACTGCGTGTAATTGGATCAAAAATATTTTTAATTTCTTTTGGAGTGTCCACTGATGATGTCATTGGATGCGTTGGTCGATGGTCATAGGCCAAAACTGATTGATGTTGTTCAATAACAAACAAATCTCCAACTTTCCAGGAAGGTTCTGCCTATAAGTGAATTAACAAATTAGTGAACTTAATTAATAAATCATGTATTACAATTAATTTAATAAACAAATTTAACAATATCTTTTTAGATACCACTTCAACTGCATAATATTGAAATAATGTAGCAAGCGCTTCATTTAACCATACATAATTCCACCAAGAACATGTTACAAGATTGCCAAACCATTGATGAGACAATTCGCGTTGTACAGTTGTAGTTACAAGTTCTTTGTCTTTTTCACTTGATTTTTTTGTTACCAATAGATATTTTTCTCTGGAATGTATAAAAATAAAATTAGAATTTTACAGTAAGACTAACAAAGCGAAAGAAAGTGTCTTGTGGAATTTAAAGGAAAATTTAAACAAGGTGTGGAGAAAAATTGCCACATGTGTTAAAAGTACCGAAGAAGACATTGTTAGTGAAAGTTGGAATAGTATATCTGTATTTCCCAGAAAGTAAGGAAATTTGATAGTGGATTGAAAATTTTCAAAGAGTAATAGCGAGTATAAAAAGCAATGTACTTAATCTATGGCAGCAGAACAGAAGGAGAAAATATTAAAAAGAGATCAATAGATCTCAGTAAAGGAACCTAAGAACATGGTAAGCAAAGCGAATTTAAAGAAATATGTTGATTTGTATAGGAGATTAGAAACAAAAAAAGGTGAAAAATAAATGTTTGTTTTGTCAAGGTTAGAGAAAAATGGTTTAGGGATTTTCATATTGTATGGTGTAAAAAAAGTTAAGATAAAAGGCTATTAAAAAATGATGTGGACATAAAAAAAGAACTGTTGGAGTACTTTAAAAAATTATTGAATTAGGAGTATCTAGAAGTGATTTAAAAAGTGTTTTATGTAACAAAGGTCTGGTGGATTTAGTTGGAGAAGATGAAGTGTGGTGGGTTGTGAAAGCAATGAAAAAGAAAAGAGCAGAAGGTACAGATGGAATACTAGTGAAAGGTTGGAAAATGTTAGGGGAGTTAAACACAGGCTAGGTAACAAGGTGATGTATCATGGTGCATGATGTTTGCAGATGATATAGGTAGAGTTTGAGTAGGACGGCTGACGAAACTGGCGATTTTTATTTCGTTATTTTTTTAAAAATGTTTATCAGTAAGTAATAGGTATATCCCATACACGCAACGCGACTTTTGTTGCGGTAAACGCGGCGATTTTGCACAGGAATAAGCTAAGTATCTATATTTCCTCTATTTATAAGAATCTTACGTGACATTACATGCTGAGTTTTATTGCAACAATCGCATACGACTGTTGTCAAAAAACAAAACATGGCTAAAAATTACGATACTAGTTATAATATAAATCTAATCTAAGAATTTTAAAAATATCTTTATTTATATAATTTTAAACTTTCAGACTACCTTCTTTAAACAACTGAAACGTTTCTGATGTAAAAACAATTTTTTTGGAAATATAAATGCATTTCTGTTGATGATAACTCAGTAGGGATAAATTCAATGTTTAAGTTTTTTGGTCTTATTCTATTTAAGTAATACTACATTACATACATTTGACGTACCTATGTATTATACGATTACATTGTGAACTCGCTACTCAGAGAAAAACATCGTAGGTAAACTACTATCGAAGACAAGAATATAATAATATACCTACATACAATATTTTAAATAGTTGTTGAAACCACAATCGCAGATAGTGTGCGGATTAACACAACATTTGTAACGACGATTTTTAATTTTTTTTTTTTTTTAAATTGTGTTACGTCACCCTACCTAGTTAGTAAATAAATATCTATTGGTGAGTCAGTGAAATTTTAATTTAAAAAGTTTTTTTGTTATCAGAGAAAATAAACAATCTGCACAATAAATGAATGGCGTCTAAGGAACAAAACGATTAAAAATAAATACTTCAATGACATGAGGAGAAGCCACCATCTAGAGGCACACCTAAGTTCTCATTTAAAAAATTAACCACAAAATAAGCTGAAAATATATTAATGTTATTACTTGTATGTATTCAATCCCCAATTTTCCATTGCATTATATGAAAAATCGGGCACTGCTAAAAGATCTATTTTTGAATACGGATATGGAATATTGGTGTAAATTTCCATCAAATTGAGTAATGCATTTGCCTTTTCTTCAATAAAATTTACTTGATCACTATATTCTTTGTGTGTATATACATAAATTCGCTGGGTCGCATTATTTTTTCTTCCAAATTCTGACACAGAAAATGCTACTGAATATGTAGGCATAGGTTTTGTGGTTTTAAACTGATCACATATATAACTTGGCGGTAAATTATAACTAAAATGTTTATTTAAAATTAGATTATTTCAATATGTAACTAATTTATACTTAAAAATTATTATCTTCGGTACTTATAAACTTACACTTGATAATCTCGATCTTTTGGCATGTTTGACAAAGCCATTTGAGTATCTTTTCGTGTAATATAGATCGTAAAAGGCGTTTTAAATCCCGGTTCGTCATAACAGGGGAATGCCCTTCTAGCATAAGTTGGTTCGAATTGAGTAACGGCTAACCATCTAAAATAAATTTAAATTTATCATTTATTTGTGTGTGAAATATGTAGGTACATTCAAATATTACAGTTTTAAAACAGTAATGTTAGCATAGATGACAAATTTTGAAAAATGTAATGGGTGCTGTAGGTATAGGTGTACTAAGAACTTCAACAACTTTCCTATCACCAAGGAACAAAATTGTATATTTTACATACCTATAAATAAATATTGGTAGTAAATTGTGTTCTGTGGTATTTTTTTTCATACGAATTTTAGTATTAAATTTTGACAGAAATTGTAAATATTAGTCTTTCAAAACATGTATAACCGAACATCGCTCCAAATTGTTTTTCGTTAACAATTGTTTATTCTTGCGTATACAGATGTAAATTTAATTCCCCTCTACATTCTATCATCTCAACTTCACAGACAGGGACAAATGTTAAATAAATAAAAAATGAATATTTATTTGAGCACTTCCCTAATCATTACATTATTACCTACTTGGAAATGTATGTTATAAATATTGTCCTATAGAGTCTATACTACATTTTTTTCTCTAAAAATCAAATATAACATATGTATGGTAATTCTTACTTGGTAGTATTACTCTCTTCATCTATGTACGAGCTTTTATAGAAACCAGTCATATCATTACGCAATTCGCCAGAATATTGAATTTGAACTTCATATACTCGATCTGCAATAAGCCCTGGTTTATCAAGTTGAATTTTGAGCTGCTCGTTTTTAACCACTAAATTAAATCTGACCACTTTGACTGTTGTTTGTGCGCTTGTATCAGTTATATCCATAACATTAACTTTTGTTATATTTAAATCATATGCATTCAAAGTCAACTCTTCTGTTGACGTGCTTACATTGATAGTTATGGTTACATTAGCGTTGAATATTAAAGAACTCTGTGTCGGATCAATATTAGGCGCGATGACCAATTTATAGGATAATGGTTCGGTATTGTTGGGCAATCGAAATACGTCGATTTTTTCATTTTTGTCGGTTGTACCCTGCGCTAGAGTGCAAGAGCAGAATAAAAACAGTAATAATATTATAAACATCGTGGTAACAGAAACAGCGCAAAATATAAACTAACAGCCAAATATACATAAATATACTGAGTCAATAAAAACAAAAAATCAACTTTTTATCGTAAATTACATTCTTAATAGAAAACTCGACTTAAGTGTCTGATAAAAAAAATTACTGAGATACCTACCTAACCTACCTTTATTTATGATATTTACATTATTGTTTATCATTATTGAATAATTTTTGTCGATTGCTTACCTACCTCGCTATCTTATAATACAATAAAAATAAAAATGTATGGACTTACTTACTTACATGTTTAAACATTGATATAAATATTTAAAATTATCAGTACACCTAAATAAATTGGAAAACGGAAATATTTCGGAAGTAATGATTTCTGTTATTTTCGATTTTGTTTATTTTTTTATTATTCTTTTTTTCTTTTAAGTCTGTTAAAACTAATTGCAGAAATTTGAAATGTTCACAGAATACTTATATTAGCCTTTTCTAAATGTAGTAATATTTTCAAAACATTTTGCGATTTTAATGCTATTTATAGGCATTTGGCTTTTTTTTATTTGGTTACTTTTTTTATAAATTTAAAACAAAAAAACACGGAAAATTATAATTAATTTTATGGTTCTATCAATAATATAATATAATTAAAAATAGGTATGTGAAATATATTTCATGCAGTTAACATATTTTTTGTAAATACATTTTTCTTCAGAAATTGTAGTTAAAATATGAATATCTACCTACTAAATAGAACTAATCTAAAATAATATATTAAAAAGCAAGACACAATTTATTGGTTACTTGAATAGTACGTATTTAGAGCAAATTGAAGAAAACTATAGTTTATCTACGATGTAAGGATAATCCTATACTATAGTCTTTAGATAATGACTTATTTATTTAAATAATGAACTCAAGATAGACAAATCTTAAAGTAGGTATTATACTCATTGTATTCATACATATAATTGTAAAATAAAATTAACATCTAATAACTTATAAATAGGTAATGACATATTACAATGCTACAAATTACAATATAATATTTAAAATAGTAGAAAATATCCATACCAGATATTAAACATATAAGTTTACACTCCACAATAACATTCAGACCTTGACTTTTTTAGATAATTCGCTAAGCTGTATAAACAACACATTTTTTTTTTATCAATTAAACTACTGAATCTTCATTTTATATTCTAAGTGTAACAAATAATGTATTGATTTTACAAACTTTTTTTTTTTTATGTAAACATATTTTACCAGAAAGCTTACTCCAATTTATACTATGTAGACCCTTTTCTAAAAGGAAATTTTCTTGGGTTAGTACTTTAGGGATGTCATTTTACGATTTTTCCAAGAGTTTTCCCAAAAATGTGAAAACCACGAAAAAACATTGGGAAACCGGGACAAATGTAGGAAATACGGGAAAATCGGCACAATATTAAACAAATATTAAAGAAAATATACAATGCCTATTTAATTATTTTACCATAACATGACATATATTGTTGACAAACCATCACTATCAAAGTATTAACTGAACTCCTCTCAGAATCGTTTTTTCGTTAGCAATGGTATATTTTTAGTTGCAGATATACCTAAATTAAACTCTCTTATGCATATTATCTTCCCAACTTCCACCCTACAACAGTGGCTGCACCCACGTATGAAGTATGTCCGTATTTTTTTCCAGCTAATATTCCAATTAGCTGTTTGCAATTAAAATCTAATCAGAGGACCAAAGGAGATAAAATGTTTAGGGTAGAATATTATTTGTTATACTTAGGTAACTATTTCCTTTCTTTTAATATACATTTAAAGATTTATTTTAATTTTTAGTAGGTATCTTAACCTTATAATAATATATTAAACCTCTAATAGATAGTATCTATTACCTGTGATCAAAATGGAAAAATAAAAGAGAGCGACTATGTGGCTGAAAAAAATTAGCGTCCCTTACAGTTACTAAACTCAATTTAATCAGTGTAGGACTTTGCTTCCTCATCTTCCTTACACCAATTTGTCTGCCTTCAAATAAATTTTCTATCAGATCTCTTGTTTTAAAGTTTTAATAGAAAATTGTATCTAGTTGGTGTGTTGTAAATGTAGTTTTTTTAAACAATTAGGAAAAAATTTAGAAAAACTTGAAAATGTACGCAATAACGGTTTCCGTTTTTTTTTAAATATTTTTTTGTTGTTGTAATGCAGTCAAAATAACCAACAAACTTGCGATTTCACCGAATACTTATAATTTTGCTTTCGAGACATGATAAAATATTTAAAAAATTCTGATAAGAGATATTTTAAATATTTATAGCCATTTAATATTGTTGAGATATTTTAGTTTTTATATGGTATATCTATGTGAATAAAATTTGTTGGCCTAAAGAAAAAAATTTAAATATAAACACAAGGTTCAAGAATTGAAACTATAGATAAAAAAAAGTTGAGGAAACATTGCAATTTTTTTAATAAGCTGTTTAAATTCAAATTTTTATGAAAATATGCATTTTGATAAAAAATCAAAAATATTTACTGTCCCATAGAGGCGTATATAGGATTTTATTGTAGAGGGGGGATATAAAATAATAATTTTTTCCTAAATCCATCATAGACTTTCGAAGTATTAAGTATTAAGGAGCCGAATGGCATCCTAAAACTTAATAATAGTCTCCCAAAAATGTTGTAAATATTTAGAATGTTTTTATCACACTCGAAAATAATTTTTCATCATAAAATCAAATTTTAGCTTTTGACTTTAGTTTCTCCCGTATAGAGATTTAATAACAATGAACATAGTAGTATTCATATTCTGATATTTTATTTTATTAATTTAAAAAAATAAATTCAAGTTTTCTGATTTATACACAACTTCAATTGAAAACTTCATCTATCTTTACCTCAACTTCACTGTGACAAGACAGTAAAACTACTTAATTTAGTCTAGTCTTTAATCACAAACCATCATACACAGTATTTGTAGACAATTTAAATTAATATTTTTTTTGAAAATCCTATTTTGATTTTGTTATTATTATTGTGTATTGATACTCATAGAATATCAATGTGATTTAATTTCGCTGTATAATATTATATATTATTTAACTGTTAAAAATATACAAGTAGATTAGTATATCACACATTCATACACATTGTTTTATGTGTTACATAAAAAAGGTAAGAGAGGATATGTTGTGTAAGCCCGTATAAATGTGTTTGTGTTTTGTTGCTCGTTAATTGGACTGAGACAGCATATGCTGGTGTGGTGCTCTCATTTTCTTGAAAATATTTAACTTAGTTAGTTCTTCAAATTCATTTATATTTTAAGATTAATTTTAGCTTAGTTTTATCATATTTAGAGTAACTCAACTTCAACTGGTTAAATCAAATTGGTTAATTTGTCTAGCTGTATAGCTTTACCAAAACGTTATATGTGAAAATTGAACCATTTTTAAAAGTACCATATATAGATTTGTACAAAACTTTTATTCAACTTCAATGTTATCATTTAATACTTTAATATATATATATATTTATACTAGCAGTTCCGTTTGGTCTTGCCCATGCCAATTTTTATTTTATTTTTATCGATATTTCTTTTTAGTTTTGACAGTGTCAGTAATGAATAAAAACAAATAGGTGGATAGTAGGTAGTCCACCTTCGGCGGACTAAAAGTAATATTTCTGGATACACCACGTTAAGTACCTTACCTTCTAGGTTCAGCACGAATAAATTTGTTTGCATGTGACACGTGACAAACCTACTTAAAATTGACCATGGGAAAAACATTGGACGGTTAGTTCTAAACCTACAACATTTAATGTTTGACCTTGTGTCTTATTGATGGTCATTGAAAAACATAGTTTCACGGGAAATTGGATCCATTTAAACAGTAATAGTAGACTTCAGTGGTGTACGCAGGGGAGACTAAGGGTCTGAAGTCCCTCTCATTGACCGTTTTTATATATATAAATATATATGTGGCTTGGTGCAAGAAGGGTCAATGTCAATTTTTTTTAAAATTTAGTTTGAAATAAAAAAAGAAAATGTACAGTTATTTATTTTCTGAATAAAATTTGTTCAAGTTTCTATAAAAATTGAAAATTACACGAACATTTACATTTAATAAAATACCAGTACCAATATGCCACTTATTTTATTGAATTTCTCGTTAGTTTATGAAAATATTGCTCTTTCCTGAAACCAACTCAAGGTTTTAGTAGAAATGTTAGATATTTATGGGTAAACAAAAAGTGTGTAATCTCGATCAGCCGAAGTTTCATTATTACGTACCAAGCATACTCTTTTAGTATTTTTCGTGTTGCATCCTACATTAGGTCTTTGTTCAGGCATGAATAAACCGCAAAATAAAATTAAAGACAGTTTACAGTTTTATTGCATAATATAATATGGCACATAGATACCATAGATACCATAAATACGTTTTGACCAACCCTTTAATTTTTTTTTCTTTTCATCTGTGTTACTAAGGTAAACCAAATAAATAAATAATAATATTAATCATAATTAATAATACCTAAAAACTGAATTTTGGGAGATGGTTTTTAATAGGGTATGAATGTCAATAGCTATAAACCTTTTCCCTAATAAGCCCTTCAATTTAAAAAAATCATAACAATCGGTTTAGCAGTTTCCAAGAACATAGGACTCAAAGGTTATTTTCATATGTATATAGTAAGTAAGAAGAAGATATATGTCCTATTCAGTGTTATCCTCATGCTAATAACTCTGTCAATATTTATGTTTACGTATTTTTTTTCAGCCGGGTTTCGTACAAGGGGGATACATGTGTACAGAAAAATTAAATTTTATTTTCATCCTTTAATTACTGAAAAAAAATAACTTTTAAAAATGTTCAAAATAGCCATTTTGTAAAATATATTATTCTAAAACTTTGAATGTATTACACATTCATATCCGATTAATAGTTTCTTAGTTATTAGCGATTGAAATCGCTTTCAAATTGGTGGAATTTATTAGAACTGCTCTAACAGGGAAAATGTACGGTTGATTACATTACATTGAGACATTGAGTACTAAGTACTGACTTCTGCATTTCTTTGTAATAATCATAAAT